CCTGGGGATGCCCGTCCCCCGGCCATGGGTCTGGTCCACTGCAGTGGGAGCGAGGCTCGGCCAGCCTGGTCTCTCCTGAGCCAGGCCCCGGAGGGTGTTCCGAGACCCGGTGGGCAGCTAGCTGTGGCCAAAGAGGTGGGCATCGACAGAGCAGACCCGCCCGGGACTGCTGGTCCAGGGGCGCGTCTGCTAGAGACTGAGGTACTTGGTGGGATGGTGCGGAAGAGCAGGACGGGTGAGAGGAGGCTTGGATGGGACTAAGGGCCTCTGTCGTGCTGAAAGGCGGAGGGCTGGCCTGGAGGCTGGACACGCATCTCCCTGTCTCCATCATCACGGCCCCCCAGGCCCTCCCTCCTAACCTCCAGGAGAAAACCAGAGGAAACTGGAAGCAAATGGGCTTTTGACTGCCGTCAGGGCTTTGCTAGCCCTCCGTCATGCTGCCAGCTATGCCAGGCCCCGCTGGGCCACCTCCCCGCCATCTCCACCAGCTCAGGGTCGGAGCTGGGGGCCAGCCGGAAGGCTCCCCTCCCAGTGGAAGCGGATGGGCTTGGGGCATCCCCGCTCGGCCTCTGCCTCGAGTCACAGAATGGGAACAGTGTACTTGAACTAAACCCGCCTGTCATGGCGGGGTTGGCGGCGTGGGGGCCCCGGGGCCTCCGTGCAGGAGGCTGGGGCACAGCGTTGTCCTGAGAACAGCCAGCAGCAGCAGCTGTGCAGAGTGGGCTGGGCGAAAGCCCCGCTTCTGACCTTGAGTTGCCATTGAACTGATGAGTGTACGGAAATGTCTCCCCCACTCGTCCCCGCTAGCTGGTGCCCCCCACCCTGGCCAGAAAGCCTCTGGGTAGTGAGCAGCGCTGCCTGGTGATGCTCGCGCCGCCCACGTCCGCTGGCCCTGCCAGGGGAGCGGTGGTGGAGTGGCCGAGGGAGACCAGGAAGGCTGTACTTCAGAGGTGTGGCCTTTAGGGGCAACAGAAGCCTCTAAGGAGGGACGGGCAGCATCTTTCCTGGACCGGCTTGAGATCCAGTTTGCTGTTCGCTCCTGGTGGGGAGGGGGTGCTGGAGGAGTTTGTGCGGTGCCTCCTCCACCAGGGATCCGAGACCACGCCCTACTGCCAAAGCAGCCGTGACCACCCAAGGTAGGCTGGCGGGTGGGAGAGGCAGGGGGCACTTCAGCGGGAGCTCGGGGGGGTATCTCCCTCCAACCTCAGACAAGCCCTGGAAAAGGAGAGAAAGTGCACAGAGAGGGCCAAGAGCCGCGACTCTGGGTGGGAGACCCCCTGCCAGCAAACCCTGCCTGCCGCTTCCAGGGCTCCTGCCCCGAAGGTCCTGCCTCCCCTCCGCACAGCACAGTGCCCGGCTTCCTCCTGCCCTCCCAGGTCCATAGACTCTATTTTTTATATCTATTTAAAACATAGAAATGTATAAATATATAGGATATTATTTATAGATATATAGACGTGATTTCCTCTCTTACTTTGTGTGTATACGTACTATATATGTCCATATATACAACATATATGCTGTAGCATCTGTATTTTACACTGCACACACCCCTGCTTCCATGCACTCTCTCCTAGGGAGACCGGATTGCATAGGTATTTCCAGGGCCACACCACTTGAAGGGACAGGGGGAAGGGAGTGACAGATGGAAGGGGAGGACCGTACCACTTTCCCCCCAAAAGAGCACTTTTTCTTCCTCTGGCTAACATGCAAAGATCGCCTCCAAGGCTCCTGACGATGTCACAGCTCCGTCCACTCAACTAAAGCACCCCAGCCAGCAGACAGCAAGAGAAGGGCCTTGTGAGTCTCCTGACTCCTCCGAAGGGTTTGGGGAGGAGGCCGGACTGGAAGCCATGACGAAGCACCACCTCTCTCAGGAGATGGGTGTCTGGAGTGGGCGTTCCAAGCTGGACTACCCTCTGGAAACGCCTTTCTTGTCTAAGGAGGCCTGGCCTGCTTGTGGCGTCTGTTCCAGCCTGGCCTGGCTAGATTTGCCTCTTGAAGGGGTGAGTGGGCCCAAGTCTGGAGCCTTCTGCCCCAATTGGATGAACGGGCCGAGAAAAGGCAACAAGTCCTACTTGGAAATCAACCCAGACCGAAAGCCAGAAACAGACCTAGATAAAGATTTCCTGTTCCTGGAGGGGGGAGGGAGAAAAGTAAAGGGAGAGGGTGAGATCTAGAGGAGAGAATTTATATCGCCAACTCCTCAGGCCACCTCCTGGGGCCCAGGAGGCACCAGGTGAGGGGCTAACGCCACGCCAGCCCCTCAGCCCAGGATAAGCCAAGGCGTAGGCCAACGACAAGCTCTCCGCTGTCGCCTTCAGCCTTCTGTGTGCCTTCCCCTGTTTTCTCCCTCTTGGCCCTGCCTCCAAGGAAACGGAAACTATTTAAGTGTTACCTTAAGTCACGGCAAGGTCCTTTCTCCAAATTAAAAGGTTACCATAAGCAAGTCCAGGGGAGGGGATTCAGCAAAACAACTCAACTTGGAAACATCCGGCAGGGGCTGAGATCAGAGGCACCCCCCCTGCCCCGTGCCACGTGCCACAGATTCAGGGCTCTGTGCTGAGCCCACCACCTAGGGATCCAGGAGCTCTGGCCTGCTCTCGTTCCCCAGTGAGGATGGGGAGATGAGGAAGTGCCCAGCATCACGAGACATCACGGGCAGTCATTAAAAACCAGCAAAGACTGTGGTTCCTGATGCCTGAACTCACAGTCAACCAGACAGGCAGAACCTGGGATTCTCACATGGCAAGAGTTGCAGGCAAAACCGGCCGTCCCCATGTTTCACAGATCCTAGATGGCAGTGGGTCTTCTGTTTCTTCCCCCACGAAGGACGAGCAGATCATTTAAATCACAAGGGCTCCAGCTCCCAGGCTCTGCCATGTATCTGCTTGGCACAATTGGCCACAAACCTGAACCTCAAAGTTGATCTCACTCCCCACCATCTCCATGCGCCCAAGAAAATCGCTCATTGGTCAGCCTAATTAAAATAAGTCTCAGCCCAGACACACATACCATTCTGAGCCTGTGATGTCACTCCTAGACCAGAGGCCAGGTTAAGGGCTTTGTCTCTTCTGAAGTGACCACCTGTGGGATGCATGGGCTGCCTGTCCACCGCTCTTTGTACCCATCAAGGGGAGACTAGGCTAACCAAGTGGAGGGTTCCCTGGGCCAGACCCTGAGTGACCCATCTATCCAAGTCCTTCTCAAGGGAACTGCCTACGACGGAAATCATGGGTAATCACACGCGGAATTCACAGAATACAAGCACTGAACCTCGCAGGGAGGATGCAAGCTAAGAAGAGACCCTGTGTAAATTGCAGTGGTGTGTCACCCAAATTGTTCCCTGGGTACTCCCTGTCCCAAGGCAAAGTGGCCCACAGAGTGTCTGCGACAGCCTGGCATGACAAATTAGCAGATGCCAAGAACAACCAGTTTCAGAGGTACCCTGCCCAACTTCAAGGCCACTTGAGAGCTTGGCACCTCTGGGGTCTGAGGCCTCTGGGGTTTGCAGCCTCGTGCTAACTAGTAGCAGCTCCTTCTGCCTGGCCCAGAGGCAAGTCACCTGCCGGCAGCATTTTCGGGCGAGGCCCCGGCATTGGCCCAGAGGATTAATTTTTCCCCTCTAGCTGAAGATCTGAGCCCATTCTGGCCATGGTCTCTTGAGAGGAAACAGTCACGGTCCTGAATAGGAGCTCAGGCAGTGATTCTCTCCTCCTGGTCTTCAAATGAGTGGTCTGGAGAACGACCCCTCTCAGTAGAGAATCCCAACGCAGTGGGGAGGGAGGTGCAGAGGTGGGGGAGGGGGTAAGGCCACTGTTGGCTAGAAGGGTCCCAACCCACTGCTCCTGACCCTCACCAAGGCCCACCTTGCCAGCCCCCTCTGCCCCTCATCCCATCGGAGTCTCAGCAAGGTTCGGTGAGACTCCCCAGACACAGCCGTTTGTGTGTGTGAGGGGAGAGGAAGAGGCCGGAGCCAGGCCAGGTGGGACCCTGTGCTTGGCGACACATCCCACCTGACCGGAAGGAGGCTTTGGCCCAGATGGGAGGAGCGAGCCAAGGGAGACAGCGGCTTAGAGGGGCAAAGGGGGCGGGGCTGGGAACACCAAAGCATCAGAGCAGGGGGACTTGGGGGGCTTCCTCACCAGTTCCTGCTAAATCTTCCTGCCCAGAGGAGAGTGGGGGAGGGGGCTGTGTACAAGTGGGGTGGGGATGGGGGTGATGTCACCAGGCAGGGGTGCATTGATTTGTTGACAAAGGCAGCGTACGGGGCCTGGCAGTGGGACAGTTGGAGGAGCCCAGTTTTTTTGTGGTTTTTGTTTCTGTTTCTTAACATGCTACATAACTGTTGAAAACAAACGAGAACATTTCAAAAATAATATATAATATATATAATATATTTATATCATGAAAAGCTGTTGACTAGCAGCAATGATTCTAAAGTTATCTTAGCACCAAGACCACGGGGGCGAAGGGGAAGGGGTCTGTGGGGGATGGAGGGGCTGGGGGGACTGGGGGGGCGGTAACATATTCAGTGTTGATGATGTCTCCGCTCTGGTCCTCAGCGGTGGCATGAGGCCTGGGAGACAAGACGGACCAAGGAGGGAGGAAGCCACCACAGGTTCGTGTCTGAGCCAGGCAGGTTGAGGACCCGGGAGGCCTTGCCTGTGTCCAGAGCACATCTACCCTCTGCCAGGCGAGAGGGAGCGAGACTCGGCAGAATGGACCTTGTGTACATAATCCAGCTGCTCCTCCCTCCCCCAGTCGGACCTGCATCCATGTGATAGGATCTCTGCATACAAAGTATGCATAAATCAGATGTAGAGACACGAACAGGAACTTTTAACAGTTCACGCACATTTTTAAAAACTCCCTTGCGAGGTATACTGGTAGTTAAATGAATGAGAGAGCATTGATCACACCCCTCTAGCTTAAACCACTACTTGCCCCAGGGAGCAGGCAAGTGGCTGTTTCTAAAGCTTATATCATGGTTGTGTGTGTGTGTGTGTGTGTGTGTGTGTGTGTGTGTGTGTGTGTGTGTGTAGGCTGATGCCTTGAGAGTCCTGTCTTACATTTCGTGTTTCCTTTTCTTAAGGACATCTCTACCCTGTTCAAAAAAGGAAGAGTTCACAGGCATAGACACACTCCCCAGCTTCCCACGACCTTCCCGCCAGTCTTGCTGCAGAAAGCCCACCTCTCCAGGGACTCTCATTGGAGCTATGCATAACCCAGGGCACAACTTGCATTGACGTCTCCTGCGATGGAGCAGGTATTTCTTGATTATTCAAGGAAAAAAAATATATACCCCCCAACACATGATATGATTATAAAGACAGAGTATAAATAATTTATGTAAATTGAATATATACTTTTCATTGTATTTGCTTTTAGCCAAAAATCGCTGCCCTAGTGGGGTCTGGAGTTCTTGGCTTTTCACCTCCCTCCCGACAGCCCTGGAACTGAATGGAATTATATTATCCTCCACCACGTGACGACAGGAATGTGAAGCACTCACCCCTCCGCCCTTCCCAAGGATGTCAAGCTCAGCTGCAGGCAATGTCCGCCTGCAGTGTAACAGGTAAAATCTTGAGTACTCAGGGGGCTTCAAGAAGGGAACTGACAGCCCAGGGACAGGAGAGGTGGCAGAGGTGAGGAGTGGTGGTACTGCAGTTTGACCGACCCTTTTGATTCTAGGATGGTGAAAGAACCCTCATCGGGAAATGAGTGAGAATCTCTCAAGCTGAAGTCAGGAGGGGGAGGGAGAAAGGTCAAACACCCCAATCCAGGCACACGACCCACCCTGTCTGAAATCAGAGATCTGATTCGGCTGGCCTAACACGTCAGCGAGGAGGCCAAGTGAGGAGGCCAAGCCCCTCCGCCTCCACCCCCCAGATAATAAAACTAAAGGGAAAGGCAAGAACATAAACCCAAACCCGACATCCCACAACACCCAAGTGAAAACATAAACCAACGAGCTACCTAAAGGTGATGACAGAGACCCGTCATTCTAGCTTATGCTGTTGGCGGACTGAGGCAGAGTCACTGGTGGCCCAGCACGTGCTTCTGCGAGTGAAATGGGTCGCCACGTACGTTGCAGCTGCCGAGTTTTGTAGACAAGAGTCAGTTTCCAACATGGTTCCTTTCTGAAAGTTCCCAGTGGCTTCTGGTGGACGCATCACCTTGGTTTTTAAAAATCTTCAGTGTGGGTTTATATATATATATATATATATATATATATATATATATATATATAATATAATATATATTTATATAATATATCAAAGCTTAGGAGTATAGATTAAAAAAATATTCAACAGCTTAGTGAACTCTGCAGCGCTGGCCCCCTAGATGTCGGGGTAGAACTCAGCCCCGTGGTCCGTGGTCTGCAGCACCGGCTTCTGCTCCAGGGCGGACATTCGGCTGAGGACTTCCGCAGACAGTGCGTAGCTGTTCCCAGACTTCTCCTCGAACCAGCTGTCCAGGGCCCGCTTGGCATCGAAGTTGGCGATGGGCGGCCCGTTCACGGCGATTGTCAAGAGGTCGCTGAGCTGCTCCAGGGTCAGGCGGGAGCGGTGGTTTTTGCGAACTCGCTGGAGGGCACTGCGGCCTTTCTCGCAGCACGCGGTGGACGTGGGGAGGACTTTGAGAACCTGGATGATCTTGTTCAGGAGGGGAAACCTCTGCTTGTACTTGCAGATGTGGCCGATCAGGTCTTTGAAGCCATTTTTGGTGTAGTAATCGGCCTTGAGTTCGCGCCACTCCAGCAGCAGACTCCCCCGCGGGTCCAGCCCTTCCCGACAGAGGTCCCGCGAGAAGGTGGGGATGGCCTCCAGGTGGTCGAGGATCTGCACCATGTCCTCCTTGCCGTAACTCACGAGCTCCTCGCTGCTCCTGGGCCAGGCGGCCAGGTCGAACACCTGGCAGGCCTTGACGAAGCTCCGGCTCCGGGAGTCGAACCTCTGAGCCAGGATGACTTGGGTCTTCTGACAGATCTTCTCCCTGATGGCCTGGAACTTGGCCTCCGCCACCCTGAGGTTCTTCATGGCGATCCCGTTGAAGCTCTCCCGGAAGTTCTCCTCGAACTCCTGCAGGTACTCGCCCGGGGAATCGGCCAGCCGGCTGACCTCCTGGATGGCCTCCTCGATCTTGTCATCCACCTGGGACACCAGCAGGTACTCGCCCTGGAAGACGTAGGCCAGGCGCGACAGCACGGCGATCACGTCCAGCAGGAAGTAGATGAGCTTGATGGACTGGTAGTCCATGAGGAACTGCAGCAGGGCCAGCGCGATGGCTGCGGCATCCGCCCGCTGCGTCTGGCTGCTGACGTCCTTGAGGTGGGCCACCACTTCCAGGTAGTCCTTGATGAGGGCGTTGAGCACGTTCTGCTCCCCGATGATCCACCGCACGGCCCGGATGTCCCCCAGAAACTCCGTCTCCTCGCAGAGCGTGGCCGCCGTGGACCGCAGCTCGCCCATGAGGCGCGGCGAGTAGCGGTAGAAACTCAGCAGCTGCTTCAGGTTGTTCTCCAGCTCCTCCAGGCAAGGCAGCTCCTTCCCACTGATGGCGTCCAGGACCTCCAGGTGCGGCCGGTGCACCATGAAGGGCAGACACAGCAGCCAGGGCAGCGTCTTGCGGATGGCCATGAACATGCTGGCACGCAGGCCGGCTGTGACGTTGGCCCCGTCCACGCCCAGGCCGACGGTCGGCTTCTCGTCCTGCAGCCGGATGCCCAGGGCTGAGAAGGCCCGGTCCAGCGCCTGGAGGTAGCTCTCCGTGCTGGAGAAGCCCAGCTCCTGCAGGGACAGGAACTCCGTGGCCGGGGGCCCGTCGCTGCTGGTGTACTGGACGTAGACGGCCACCGTGTCCGCCAGCAGGTCGTCACTCTGCCCATCCAGGATGATGCTGAGGCACGGCGACTGGCGGACGCGCTCCACCAGGTCCTCCCGCAGCGCCCGGGCGATGTGATGGATGAGGATCTGGCAGTCGCCCTCGTTCATGTACTGGTCCACCACCTTGAGCTCGCACTTCCTCAGCAGCTCGGCCAGCGGCCGGAAGTCCAGGTAGGGCCGGCCCTCCAGCGCCAGGTGGTAGGCGGTGTTAAAGAGCAAGGTCATGTTCCGACACATCTCCTCCGTCTTCTCCGGGTGCATGCGGAGCTTGTACAGCTGCAGGCACTTCTTGTGCAGGTTGCTCTGGCTGTGCAGCTTGATGGTGTGGATCTTGAACTGCTTGGAGCCGATGATGAAGGCTGAGGTGCGCGAGGACTGCACCGTGTACTGGCGGCAGACGTGGCACCACATCTCGTTGAGGGTCGGGGAGTACCGCAAGAACCAGAACTTCTTCAGCCACTCCTGCTTGAAGCGCCGGATCCGGCGCCCGGTGGCCGACGACAGCTTCGAGGGCTCATCGGCCGCCGTCATCATGTCGTTGGAGACAGATTCGTCCGCCGAGTCGACCTCCGGGTCGTCGTCTTCCAGGATGGCGGGGCCGGAGACCATGCTCTCTGAGGCTGGAAGACAAACGGGAAGGAGGCGTTTACACCGGGGGGGAAACACACACACACTCTCCCAAAATGAACAGGAAATGCTGCCCGGCAGGTAGGAGTCACACTGCATGAGGCAGAGGTCCGTGGAAGCCTACGGCAGATGGACTCCCGGCCCGGGGTCTACACCTAAGTGCTTTTGTCCTCCCACGCAACTTGTCCTCACTGTGGTTGCCACGGTGGCCCTCCGTCACCTTCCACGTGCCCCGGGCCGCCCGGCCCTGCCCTCCACGTGTGGGTGCTCGAGGGGTTTTAAGTGCTCCCTACCAGGTGGACATCACAAGCTAGCAGGGTAGCCCTGACGGAGGGAGAAAAGGCACCCCGCTCATACCAAAGGGACGCGTCAAGGACTTGGGACTGGTCCCCCCCCCCCAACCCCATGTGAACGAAGGCAACTTGGATGTGGCTCAAGTGATTTCAGGATTGAAATGCAGTTTAGTTTCAGATGCATGCTCTGAATATGCGGATCGCCTCATTCCAGCTAAAAGACGTGATTGAAAGAGGAAGTGCTATGTAAACAGTCTCACTCAGCGGCAGATGCGAACTAAAAAAACCTCCCCGGCCGTCTAAAAGATCAACTCCGACTTTTCCAGGCAGCGGACAGGAAAGGGCGAGGCATGCAGGTGGACGCCCTGGACCCCCTGGCTCTCCAGCCTTCGACAGGTCTGGGAACGGGGGCCGTGCGTGGCAGCACAGAGATTCAGGAAGAGAAGAACGAGTCTGCGTTCCCGGACTGAGTCTGGGAAGCCATGAGATCTCCCCGCCTGGACGCCTGCGTGGGACTGGGGAGAGAGGAAGGCTGGGTTTAGAATGTGGCCTTTGGGTAAAGCACCAGTAGGACCGCCAGAGAAAGGCAACCGGTCAAGAACACAGCACACACCCCTTCTGCAGCGGAATTTCCTTTATTGACAAGGAGGATACAAGGGCGACCCATGGAGCGTCCCACCAGAGCAGCCGAAGGGCCTGCCAGAGGCCCTGAGGACGTGGGCTCCCCGGCGGAGGCAGCCACCTCCACGCGACCCTCCTCGGGTCTCCCAGAAGGTGGCTTTGACAGAGAGCTTTAGGCTACCCTCTACACAGCCCACTGTGTGCTCTCCCCTCCGACAACAAACGCATCCAAACCAACTTACCTGCAGGGTCTGGGAACTCTGGGAGCTCCAGTACCTGTGGTGGCAATACGGGGGGCTCGGGAAGCTTCCCAGACTTAAGCATGTCTAGTTCTGCCTGGAGTTCTCGGACCTTCTTCTTCAACCGAATACAGTTAGGGCAAAAGGAGGTGGTGGGGAGTTCATGGGGGTCGGACGCAAGGGAGGCTTCGGCAGGGCTGTCGGCCTTGAATGACGAAGGCTCTTCCTCGTCGTCCTCCAGGGGGCCTGGCTCCTTGGAGGCGCCCTGGGGGACCTTCCAGTCCCCGTCCCCCTGGGTCCGGCCGACACTCTGCATGCCGTGGGCCATGGTCGTCACACACCGACCGTAGGCGTCATCCTGGTACTTGGGGACTTTCCTGATGACCAGTGAGGTGCTCAGTGCCAGCTGGTGGGCTTCCACCTTGGCCGATTCCAGCGAGGCCTCCAGCACATCCTTGAAAATGAGGTCAATCTTCTTCTTCTTGGCCTGGGGGTGCACGTCCCCCTCGTCAAAGCCACGCTTGTAGGGACTTTTGCCCGGTCTCAACACGGGGAGCTGAGTGGGACCCCTCAGGTCTTCTGGGTTATCCAGAGCCTGTTCGGACTTCTCCCTCTGCAACCTCTTCTCTCCTAGGAAGGAAAACCAGGGTGTAAGGAAGTGGGGGAAACCCCCAAATCGGAGAAACCAATAGCAAATAAAGCCGGCGTCCCATTAGGAAGTCACCTGCCACATCCCTCTAGGTCTGGCCTTGTGGGGCAGGTGGGTCACTCGGTGAGTCATGGGCACTAGAGTCACAGGACCCCAAAAGTGGAATGACCTTTTTTAAAAACAGACGGTTTCAAAGAAGCCTCTTTTCTATAAGCTCTACACTTATATGTTAAGAGAAATCTGCAAGGAAGGGCAATTGGAAGTTCTTTCAATGGGACTTGATATCCCACGACTCTAGAAGACAGCATCCCACCTCATTACACTGGGTGTGGGAATATATGTCAGAGCCAAGTTAATATCGATTTCCTCCCAACCTTGGTGGCTTCCCCTTCCAGCCCTAGCAATGATAAGATGGCTGCTTTGACTTGGTAAAAGGTACACACGAAACACCCTGAGCCTCGCTCCTCTCTGGCTGCTCTGGAGACATCTCACTTGGGGAAAAGTCCATCCTATAGAAATCATCCTTTCTAATTCTCCCAGGAATCAGAAGACTAGGAATACATGAGGAAGCATGATCTGAACCTCTGTGGTTCTCACTGACGACTAAGGCTGGAAGAAAAGGGAAGACTGGGATACCTACAATGCTGAGAGCCCCGAGATGACAGCCTCTGACAAGATAAAGGACAAGGTAGCCACAATGACCCACAGCAATCTCAAAATATTGCTATGTTTCCTTACCTGGCAATTCAAAGGATGTTTCCTTTTCTATTTCTTTGTATCATGTGAATTACTTCAGTTCACTTTGAATTACTTCAGAGACTTTGATGAGATCCCCAACAATAAATTACTTTTGCTTGTTGTTTTTTAAATGACCAATATAGTTTCATAAGCTGCTGATGCTTCCTGGGGCAGAGATGCTTAAAAGGCAGATATATCTCTTTAGCCCTCAGAAGGTCCTGACAGCAGCCTGTGGGACTCAGAAATCTCAAAGGCTTCCTAGTCCAAGGGCAGGGACCCTGGGTGATGTGACTCTGAGCAATGACTTGACCAAATTTTTGTTGTAATTAGACTTCTGATGGCTGCACTTGCTAAAGGCTTCTGAGTGAAGGCCCAGGGCTCTCCATGAGCAATCCAGATTTTCCATGCTTGGCTTCCCACAGCTGGCATGGGGTGCTATGGCCTGTGCTGTGTTTGATTTCAGGTTTCCTATAGGTAAGAGCGCAGAAGGGAATAACCTACTCGGGGTGCCCCTTTTCTGTTCACATACGAATGCTTAAAGAACAGTCTTAACTCCAGGGCTTCCAGAACTCGGGCAGCTTCCCACACCCCGAATTTCTAGCACAGCTGAGTGCAGAAAGGAAAGAGAGAGACATGCTTGTCTAGAAGACTAGATACAGCATCTGCCATTGAGAATCTCTTAAAAAAAAAAATCAACCCTTCCATCTTCCCATAGGCCAACCAGGCAGCAAACAGATGAGGACATTGAAGGGTCAAGGCTGCAAATTACCAGAGATTCCACATCGATGTTGGAAAACGAGGTTGTTCAAATTTCCTATGATGGGTGAGATACCTTTTTGGACTTAAGGTTTTCAGAAAAATCTATTTTTCAAAAAAATCTATTGGCCAAAAAAGACCTTTAAGTATTATGAAATTGATTCCAAAGCTTCCATGCAATATGGATAAACAAAAAACAAAGCAAAAAAAAAACCCAAACCTCAGTGTAAATAAATGACTCAAAGTAGATCGAACAACATAGATTTTTTGAATACAAGCTTTAGATGCACTCTATTCTTCAAAGAAAACCACAAAGGAATATTTTACACTCTCTTCAGGAAGCTCCAACCAATGTCCTTACTTAATCAGGACTAATAATTCATGCTCTGACCTTTATCAGGGCTCCAACCTCCAATTACGAGGAAACCTCCTTCTGTGTAAGAACTTAAGTGATTGAACGTGAGGGATCTCCCTTCCAGAGAAGGACTGACACAACAATCTAAGACACCTCTAGAAGTATCCAGGGTCTGCTGAAGCTACAGACACACAACCACAACCACTGAGCTCCATGACTGCTCCCAAGGGCCTCAGGCCCAGACCATCCACAGCTCTGGCACTGTCCTGCTGTGGCCTTCAGTTTCCCTCCTATTTTCTACTGTTCGGCTTGTCCTGGAATAGACACCCTTTCCTCCTGTATCTCCGTACATCTCTGTGTATTTCCTTTCAAGTCTGTCTGACATGCCTCCTTGGAGTTCACCCCCTTCTCCGTGAAGTCCCCTTGGGTCTTGGAGCTCTCTTATCATGATGCAGCTTCAGATGCTCTGAAGAAGACCCCTGGGAACAAAAGGACATTGCAAATCCAGAAGACTGGAAGGTGATGGCCAAGGGGTGAAACCTGTGTTCACAGATAGGACTTCTCAGTTTTCTCTTCTTCTGGTGGGATGATTCTTTGGGAAACTTCTTGACTGTCTTCATTCCTTTCTTCTTTCAGCCATTCAGTCAAGATTTACTGTGTCCCTATCAGACACTTTTGTCTGAGGACTCTCCAGAGGTCACGTGGAAACCACAGCAATGTCATCATGGAAGCGTGCCTCCAAGTGAAACCAACATGTGCCCAACCCCCAGATCTGAAGAAGACAAGAGATGAGTATGTTTATTGAGTCTCCTCTCACTGCTCATTCAATCACCAGATACCTTTTACCAAGTCAGGTAGCCCCTGGGCACACAATGTCCACAGTTTGCCGTGTTCTGCTTTGCTTTTAAGAATCGCTTAATTCTGATAGGTCACCCTACCCCTTTTCATCTTCTCCATTCGTACTCCACATGAAGATTTATTTCCAATAAGTAGGTTGGTCAGGAACATAATGAGGCGAGGCTCGGGCACAGCATTGGTTCCTGGCTGGGTATCTGGATGTGTGACTTTAGTGCAAACAAGAACCCCTTGAAAAGAAGGGTCCGGACTCACTAGTTTACCCTGACCAGGATGAAGATGGAATAAAGGGATAAGAGACTGGGAGCCTAGGAGTATTTAAAACCACTTCCAAGTGATCCCTTTAAATGGAGCCTGACTACCTATTGGGTATTGTGCTTACTATTTGGGTGATGGGCTTAATAGACGCCAGATCCCCAGCATTCTACAATACACCCATGGGACAAACCTGCCCATGTGCCCTCCTGAATCTAAAATAATAATTAAAAAATAAAAACAGCAACAACAACAAAGAAAAAAAATCAGTGGAACCTGAATGGACACCCAACCCTCTAGGCCTCCCACACCTAAGTCAACCTTTCCACCTCCTTCCCACCTTCTTCTTCCGATAGAGACTGTTCTTTCCAATCACAGCACAAGGACTGCCAGCAGCAAGTGCAGGAGGAAGCAGGAAAGAGAATAATTTAGCCTGAGAGGCCACAGAGCATTGCAGGTTAGAACTTAGACCCTGAAGTCAGACCAAAGTCGAAACCTAGCTCCGCCCCTCCCAGGCATGTGACCCTGGAGGAATCTCTGTATTTACTGGATACTTGGTTTGCACATCCATGGGTCAGATAATCCAGGTGGGATCATGGACATTCAAAGTTCAGAAGTGAGGCTTCCTATGAGAGAGGCAGGCATTGTTTTACATGTGGTATGCCACTGGCGTCCCATGGGAACATGGAGAAAACCTCCTGGCACCCATTAAGTATTTAGTTAACATCCCCTAGGATTGCTCTGAGTATTGAGGCAGCGGCAGTTTGTGACATCTTTCCATCAATCTGAACTGGGGAAACAGGCCCAGTTTTGAGTCAACTGATTTTCTTGGCTTCGGGGACTTGTCTCTGCCACGGGTACCCTGACATGTGTGTGGCGAGAGTTTCTGAGACCGTGTCAAGGGGAGGAAAACACACTGGAGTGGCTACTGCCTGGCCCAGAGCTGCTGCTCAGACCTCACCTATCTGTCCCCCTGAATGGCTCTGGGTCCTCTCATTGCTGGGAGCTGGATTCCCATCGGTTTTCTTAGGAAGCCTCTAGAGAAGCTGTCCTGGCCTCCCGGGAGCTCGGGCACTCACCTCTGGCCAGGTTGCGGTGGATGGTCTCCTGGGACATGCTGTGTAGGCGCTTCATGTAGTCCTCGCTGTACCAGACTCGCAGCCGCTCCCCGGGCCGGATGTCCCTGCACGCCCGGAAGTAGATGCACTCGCTGTGCTGGAACGCCAGCAGGTTCTGCTCCCTCTCCTCCCGGGAGATGACCACGTACCTGGGGGCGAGGGGGACAGGTGAGAACGCCGGGCCACCCTCCTCTCCTGAGTGCCCGCCGGTGCTGGCACGGTGCTAGGACAGTGTGGATGGTGACAAGTCCACTGACGCGTGGGCATGTGTGGACGTGGTCGGAGCGGCTGCTGTGTCCAGGGAAGGAGCACCAGCCAGAGCCGGTCCTGTCCTGATGTCACTGTTTTGTGTGACCGCGAGCAAGCCTCCAGACCTCTAAGAATCTGTTTTCCGAGAATGGAAATGCCCTGCCTGCCTCTTAGGTTATGGAAAACACAAGATTCAGCACCAGATACACCCTGTCCCCTCTTCACTAATTCCCACAGACCCCGCTGGTGATGGGGGGGGGCAAGCCTTGAACTGTTTTCAGCCTACCACAAAGCCTAGTAGAAGTAGCCTGGACACAAGGTGCCTGAGAGATTCATTAATAAATGCTAAAGATCAAAATCTTTAAAAACAGGGGTCCGATGGGGACAGAGATGGCAGATAAATAAGAGACGATAAAAGGGTGGCAACCACTGATTAATTTCACTAAATGACTTTGAGATAAGGAGGCTCAGAAAGGCCAAGTGACTTGTCCAAGGTCACACAGTTAATAGGAGCTTTGAGGCCTGTGCTTTTCCCGCTCTGCCTCATGGCTCCTATGTGGGCATACAGAGCACCAGTTCAGCAATACCCAGATGATCACTAAAACTCTGTGAAACCCTCCAATCCGCAGCCCTTGTCCATTCTCATTGCAACAACTTTTCCCACATCCATCCTGCCGCCTTGCCCACCGTTTCCAAAAGTTAGGGGGACCCGACACCCGCCGAGAAGGGAAGCTCGCAGATCAAAGGGCAGGTGGAGATTACGTGGAGCTACAGGCTTGGTGCTACCCACATGCCTGGGAAACCGGGAGTCAAAAATAAACCGCCTTCCTTACGCTGTCATTTGCTGCAAAGGCCGGGGAAGAAATGAAAGTCTGACAGGTGTAGCCCAAGGAACCGCATATCCCCATCGTTCACAGGAAAAATCAAGGACAAGGACAGACGAAAAGGACTCGGCATCACTCACAGGAAGAGAAATGTAAAGCAACGTGTTGTCTCATGACGCAGGTTTTTTGTTTTTGTTTCTTAAAACGATAGTATTGGTATCAGTCAAGATGGTGAGGAAGGCGTCTCCCACACCGATGGTGCAGAATAAACTGGCATGGCCCTTTGGGAAACCAACTGTCACAAGAAAAATTAGATGTGGGTGTGCAAATCCTGCATGCCACTTGTGCTGACTTACATCACTGTGCAAAGACAGAGACATCTCAGGGTTCAATACTAGAGAGATCATATAATAGGGACATTACATTGGCACAACAGGATGTCACCCATCTACAGAAAAATGTCTTCAAACAAACTTTTCACGACATGGAAACACAGCGTTGACATAATATAGCCTGAGAACAACAGGACTAAAGCATTAAGACAATCATTCCAATAATGCCCTAAAAATAAGCCTCGGAAAACGACTTCAGGGAAATATAGCCATGCTCTAATAGTGATCATCCCTTAGATGTGGGTCTTCTTTGAAATTCTGTGTATTTTCCTCCATAAGCAATTATCACTGTAGCCACCCCACCCCCAG